ATTAATTTTTATTATATATAATGTATATACATGTAAATATAAATGTATGTATATTCAAAAATGTATAAAGTACAAATTTTCTACAAAATTAAAATCAACCAAAAAAAAAATCAAACTAACATCTTTTTAAAATTCGTTTTTTTAACAGTATGCTTTTATTACTTCATAATGTCTAACTAACTGCATTTCATTGCTGTCCATTACGTTTTGTTGAGAGTTTCTATATGCATCAGATCACCATCTAAAAAAGTTTCTTGACTTTGAGGTAGTATTATAAAAACCATATCCATATGCTTATGGAGTTTTAGGACAATGTCTCAATTGTTGTTCTTTTCGACCCCTTCTTTTTTTATTTTACTTCCTGTGGCTGAATAAGTTTGCATGTCTGACTGGACCAAACTGGAATGTAAATGTTTGCATGTGGGCACATCATTTAATGGAAGAACATTCATAATGTGACACTTTTTACCTCCTAGATTTCAGCCTAATTACCAAACTCTGTTTCTTCCTCTTCTCCCTGCTAATTTCCCTGCTCTTTTCATTGACACCACATCACAACCTCTTGTACTTGCTTTTGCACTCCTTCCTCTATAAACTCCTGTCTCCCTTGTATATCTGTGTGTCTTCTTTCCTTGTGGCCCATCTCTTTCTCTTTGCCTGTCTACCTGCTCCCTGGCTTCTTTTTTTTCCCCCAGACTGCGAAGTGTGAAGATGGAGCAAAGAAAGCTGAATGATCAAGCAAACACACTGGTGGACTTAGCAAAGGTGTGTACAGTGTTTCTTATTGCTTGTAAGCCTTAGTACATTTGTAGTACATGCTGGTTGTTTTGTAATATGGCCATGTACAGTAAGGACTGTGTGTTTATTTTATGGATTTTAGATTTGGGTTATGTTTTAAATTGTGTATATTTTAGTAGACTATGATTGTAAGCTATATATTATGTTCACCAAAGTGGGGACAGATTGGGGACAGTAAGATTTTTTTTTTAAAAGAAATTAATACTTTTAATTAGCGTGGATGCATTAAACTGATCAAATGTAAAATGAAAGACAAAGAAAATTTATATTGTTACAACAATATTTCTATTTCAAATAAACCCTTTGTTTTTACTTTATATTCATCAAAGAACCCTGAAATGAATTTTTTCCATGAACAGTTTCCACAAAAACTGTGTCCGGACCAATACAAACACTGGGAATTTGATTTTAATTGGTTATTTGACAACATATTTGTGTAAATACGTAATTTGTGTCTTTTTATTTCTAATATTATATTTTAATGTTATATGTTTTTCAATATTTTATGTGAAAATCTTAATGTTTTATTTTTTGTAGTCAGAAAATAGGCTTACTTTCCATGCCAGTGGACAACACAGGATTTGTGCATTTTTTTGTGTACTAATTGTGCCTATCACTTCTTCAGACACAGAATGTGATGTACGACCTTGTCTCAGAGCTGCAGGAGCGCAGTGAGGAGCTAGAAAAGCGGATCGGTCACCTAGAGGCAAAACTGGACTCCATAAACAGCAGTCTGCAGGCTCTGCCTGGCCTGCTCTCACAAGCCATACAGCAGCAACAGCAACACCTGCTGGACGGGCTGACCCAGCGTGGGTTCACTCTCACACGACCCTCCTCGCAGACCTCCGAACGCTCCTGGGCATCATCCGTGCACCGGCGGAGATCACCCTCTACCGCACCACACACGTCCTCTGATAGCGGCTAGTACGCTCTCACACAAACAAAACCATACTCTAAACCTACACACACACTCCTACACACCTCTGTCATCAACTAACACTGCTAAATATACTTTTAGTACTAAAACGTTAACAAGAATGACAACTCCAACACACTGGAATGAAATGTAACGAATTAACACATCATGGTAGAGATATGGTTTATGTTTAGCCATTGTATGGCTGTTTAAAGTTAGCTTTTTTGTAAAGCCCTTGTATAGTATGGACTGGATTCAGACTGCAGGGGGTGGAATGGATTTATATAGAGAGATATAGTTTGGAAACAGAATTCAATGGAGCTAAACCCATGGAAACAAAGAGGACTGAGAAGGAAGGAAAAATGCTAGGGAGGGGAAGTCACCAGACAGGCAGTGATTACAGATATAGGCTATGTTCTGAATAGCATACCAGCATGCTACTTACTCTCACTGCAGTATATATTTGTATACAGTGTACAGTATGCACATTTTCTGTATGCATTAAAATGCCCTACGACATTTGTTAGAGAACACTACATTGAATACTGTATCCCACAATGCAATGCGTTCGACTTTTCCTTTTCAGCATTATTTTTAGCAGTAGTTTTTAGCATAAAACATTTTGACATTAAAACAAGACAATTTTCGCCCAAAATTGAATGAACCCTCATGTGGTCCTTCATCATTTCAGACCAAAAGAAAAAAAAATGTTTTGAAATGTTTGAATTTCAGAATGGTACAAAACTTGGTAACTTTTGTGGCACTTACTATGTGAAAAAAATAAATGTGGATATGATTAGATAAAAGGTTAAATGAAAAATCACACTTATGATCTTCGCCAAAGGAAATGAATGGGAAATGCCAAAAATATGAACATATCAAGTTTTTTAGAGGGGATATAATTTACTAATCATCATTGGGTTAAAATGCTATTAAACACTTTATTTGAAAATAATATGAAATATTATATTAGATTTTATTTATTTTTATTTTTAGATGATTTTTAAATTATATATTAGATTTCTATTATATAGGAATATGATTTCTAATAATTGTATTATTTATATAGAAATAAATGAATAATTTAGAGGTGAATCTTGTCTGAAATCCCCTCAAAATGCAAAATATTAAGGGATTAAACGTTCAGTGTTATAAGATCATGTGACAACAACTACACATTTGTAGAATATTGCAAATTCAATGGCAGAAGAAGTACTGTAAACAGTATATACTGCACAGTATGAAGTAAGTACTAAGCTGGTATTCTAATCCATTAAATAAAGGCTCATAGAATCGTTGTTGAATTGTCCAGCTCACAGAAGCTGAGGAAAGGCCTTTGGAAGACGGGTATATCAAAATTTAGCCAGATATAAAAAAAATACCTATTAAATGTTATTGTCAAATGGATATTTTTCAGACTAAAAAATGTAGCTAGTCCAATTCAACTGATAAATGTTTCCACATTACACATTTTCTTTATTTTACACTGACCACATTCAAGGTCTAATAGAATAATATGCATTCGCTCTATAGGAATAAACAATATTCTGCACACTTTTTCCACTAGCAGGTGTGCAAGGCTCTTTAGTGTTTTACAGGAGCTGAATAACAATATATGGCCAGGCAACATTGAATATGATTCCAGCAGAGCTTCCAAAGGTCTTTAAAGCTCGGACAATCTGTAAGACAGCCTGGGGATGTGATGGGAAGGAAATACTGTACACCCCCTCGCACGTTTCAATGCAAATGACGATGGAGCTGACCTATAGGATGGTTTTCTCTTAATTTTTCCTTTCTTTTCTCTCCTCATTTTTTACAGAGATTCCTTTTTTTATTTACCTAGATTTTTATAGCTTGTAGAGGATATACAAAATGTTACAGCAGAGTGGCAGCATAGTTGAAAACATGCATTCCTTGATCAAAGACGTCAAAAAATTCACCTAAACAAAATGTAAGAGAACAAGAGGAGATGAACCCCACACTTGGATATCATTACCGCTTACACGAATTAACCAATTTGGTTCCCAGTTCTAGGTTTAGAACGAAAGCATCAAGATGTGACTGTCATTACGGGTTTGAAAAACAGCAAACTGCCTTTACTGTGTGTCTTTGGCCTTGTTGACCAAGCTGTAGCGGATTTACATAATGCTGGGCTCCAATATAAAGAAATAAATGAACAAATCCACTACCTGGTCACATTGCATTTTTATCAATCTTGTCTTCGTTGGACATGTTATCTACTTATATGGATTCTTCACTGGTTCAAATCCACTAACCTTTAACTTGGTCCATTTTAAGACAACAACAGTAGTAATGACGCAGAATGTGGCGCACGACCTAAGAATAGCAGTTCCTGTATTACTCCCAGTTAACCATGTATAGAACTTTTGTGCTGAAGAAAATGGACAGTATTTTTAGGCCACTCTGAACAAGGCACTTTAAAGCCTGTAACACAAGTGCGTTTATTTCTCTCATTGTTCACTCATCTGTCTTTTCCTCTGGAACTCCTCTACCTTTGTGCATTCACTCACTATTTTGTGGCTTGGCGGAAGAAAATTGAAGAAGTAGTTCACCTGAAAATGAAAATGTGCTAAAAATGTACTCACCCTCAGGCCATCCAAGATGGAAATGTACTTTGTTTCTTCGTCGGAACAGATTTGGAGAAATTTAGCTTTACATCATTTGCTCACCAATGGATGCTCTGCAGTGAATGGGTGCCGTCAGAGACCAAACAGCTGATAAAAACATCCCAATAATCCACAATTATTGTGATAATGATGGATTCGTTTATTACAAACATTAATTGATGGACTGGAGCTGTGTGGATTAATTGTAGATTATTGCAATGTTTTTATCAGCTGTTTGGACTCTCATTCTGACGGCACTCATTCACTGCAGAGGATCCACTGCTGAGCAAGTGATCTAATGCTAAATTTCTCCAAATCTGTTCCAATGAAGAAACGAACTCATCTACATTTTGGATATCCTGACAGATAATGTAGGCCTATAGGTTATGTTACGCAAAATACAGCGAATAACATTGCGGTAATGACCCTCTAACTGTACATTAGCTCTTACGTATGCAGTTGTGAAAGTTGATATATTCAGTCAGTTCAAAGGAGTGGGTGCTGTGATCTGGATAAACGTGTCTCATCTCACCCTCATTGATATTCTTACTTGTATTATGTCTTGTTTTAGTAATTGACTTCAGTGCGCGCTTCAGTGACACGCACGGCATGCCTAAACGTGATCAAAATACAGTTAAATGCAGATTAAGAGCTATTTAGAATGAAGATCACTTTCTCAAATGATTGTACAATCACACAGGCTCTGCCTAGTAGTGGTGTAATATTACAGTACATTAAGAAATGATAGATGAATCTTTATAAAAAAAATGAAAGAAAAGAAAAATGTTTACTTTCCTCAGAAATTACTGCCTTTTGATGTGATTTATTTAATGGATCAAAAAATTGCTCAAACATTGAAAGTTTCAAAAATAACTATATTTTTCTCCCTGCCTCTTTTTCCTCTCATTCAAATTACCTAATTTTTCTCTCTCAAAAACATAAGGAAGACTTTAGGGTAAAATGAGCTACAAGGTAAGATGATTCTTTGTTTCTAGGTTGCTAAACACAAAATAAACCACGTGACAGCATTTTCATGTGGGCAATCTTTTTATATGCGGTGAAGGGTTGCATGTGGTGAATGTGGATATTATATATATATATATATATATATAGATATATTATTATTTTTTTTTAAAAAGGGTTTCTTCCCTTTCCACACATAAGTTCCAATCATGTCACGAGTTTGGATGATTTGGAGAAAACTGACGAAGCACTTTTACACACATTACACTTTAGTTGTTTAGTTTGTTGGTTCATCTTATCCCAACTTCCTCTATATGTTCACACTTTCTGTAAAAAAAAAAAAAACTTTCTCTGCCACAAAGCTGTTTTACACTGAATTTTTTCTGCCACAAAGCTGTTTTACTCCAAAAGTGCTCTGGTGTGGGGAAATTCCATTAGCATTAATATTTAAAAAAAAAAAAAAAAAAAAACTTGAGAATATTGGTTTCCTGTTTGGAGTCCTGAGTGCACCTTCATGCAGGTTTGTTTCCCCCCTTGTTTAAAATGGGACACTCTTAGTACCGCCAAGGGCACAGAAGTGATGTGAATTAATGGACTGATAAATTATTTATTACTTTATTTATTACTTAAAAAAAATGGAGTGGTTCTAAGTGCTTTTTGTCCATATATGGTAAAACACAAATCTTGGTCATGTTGCTGTTAAGCTCATTCTACTCTCTCAACATCAAAAGATGCTATTTTCAGGATCCCCATCTTATTAAAAAATATTAAGAGTTATATGAGAACAAAGAATAAGTTGTGTGATTTTTTTTTATTGTATTCTTGCCTAATTTTTATTCTTTCACAAATGTGAAATTTAGTGAAGTTAGAACTTTAGCCCGATGCGTAAACTGCTTAGAAAAGCATCTATTTCAATGGCAAGTTAGTCATCTATTTTTTTTTTTCAATGCTGGTCATAACTTTTTAAAGTCAGATTGGTTTATTATTAATCCAAAAGTAAAACTGATTTCCCCAAGTTAACTGCTAGTTGGTCAAATTGGTTCTTAAGACTGTCTTAACACAGTGGCAATGCAACTGGCCCCATAGAATCCAGATGTACAGCCAGATATGGGAGAAATATTGATGTAGATTTACCGTTAGTACGTCAAATAAAACCTGCTGTCATTCTGACATTCATCTAAATAACTATAAAAAATTAAGGCCTAAAGCAAGGACATCTCCTTTTGTCAACAGATGGCCATGCTGAATATTTTATTTTAGCAGCACTTTTAATAACTTGCATAAGAAACTTGCGCCATGTTTACTTCTCGCCTTGTTTTATTCCCATGCCATTCTTTGATTCTACGCAAGACGGCGCTATTTAACAGCCGTATGCAAATATAGCGCTTTAAAAACGTAATAAATAAATTGCCATTAAGTATTTTGAAACCTGCATAGGCCTACTTCTCAACACCAAACACCTTCTGACCACACTCAAACACCAAGAACATGATTATTTACACATTGACAATTAAATGAGTCGAACAGTGTAGAAATAAAGAGCTAAGGATAGTTAATGCTGAGTGTGAGAGATTGTGAGTTATGTTATTGGAAGTCAGTTTGATATTTTATATATATATAAAATTATAACTTTTGACCTGTTGTTAATATCATACCAATTTTTATAATTTTATCAACAGGTAAATAATGTTCTAGTGTTAAGAAATAATTAAATACATCCGTAACTCATACCCTAATTGATGTTTTTTATTTAATGCAATTAAAAAAAACAGCACTGCATTGAAATATGATAACATAAAGGAAAGGGAAAAAAAGAAAAATACATAGGCCTAACACCTCAATCAGTAAGGACAATATCATCATAAGCCTTAAGAAACTTGTTATTCTTATTGTTCTTAGAGATGTGCACTTGTTTTCCCACCACAGATGATGTCACTTCTTGTAGGGTGACGTCATCAAGGAATCACAAGCAACTAAAAACTATTGAAATAAATAAATACCTGGAATATTTCTTAATAAATTAAATGGCTGTTTTTTCCCCCCCAAATGACCGTTTTGACGTAGGCTATGTGATAAAAAATAACAACACCTGCTGGAACCAAAGTAGTGAAATGATCTAAAACCCGTCCTTTGTTCACTTAATTGTGATAATGTGATAATATAAACCTAACTAATATAATTTTGATTAAAAAAAAAAAAGTGAATTTAATATTTTATCCGTTATGATAAAATGGGGACAAGCTAAAATAGTTCGTGACCGGAATAACCCGCCCTCTGCGGCTTTTGTCCAATGGGATTAAACCTGGTTTGACGCTCGAGGCACGTCTCTAGATTAGTTCGAGTACATTTCTTGCTCTCAAGGAAGTTTACCCACATCTTTCGGAGGGGGTCAGCAGCGCTGGTGAACAACACTCAGACGACTGATACAGATGTGCTTCACTGCATGCAGGCGCAGGTGGACCAGAGAGCTTTAGAGAACAGAGAACCAACACTTTTACTTTCACCGGCTTCATTTCTTGAGCTTTTTTCCCCTAAAACTGAGAATTGAATTTGAAGACGAAGAAGAAGAATCTGGGATAATAATAATAATAATAGAAGAAATCTTCATTTCCTCAGGTGAAGAGAGATTCAAAAAGGTAAATAATGTTTTGTGTGTTTATTTTAGATTAGAATTGTATAATTGTATTTTAGACAAAAATATTCTATTTATATTTTAAAATATAATTATTTATACATATTAGCATTTATGATAGTATTGATATGATAGACACATAGGCCTACTTTTAGGCCTTTTATTAAAAATCATTGTTGTTTCACTTAAAAAAAAACACAAAAGAGTGATTAAAACTAATTTGAGTGTGTTATAGAAACATGCAGCAGTTTTACGATGACATGCAAAGTAAACAGTATCAGGTTTTGTAATCTTTGCTCCAAGTTAACCCACTTTTGATTTGACTACATTTCATACATTATCTGTTTAAAAAATACACTTGTACAATTACTTTTGGACAAATATTATGACAATACCATGCTTTTTTAGGCAAATACCATGGTAATGTTTTACTTATACCAAGGTATCATGCCAAATGTTTTTGATCATGTACTATGGTAGTTTGCTTTGAAATACCTTGCACATACCATACATACATAAAGTGCCATTGTATTATGATGCCATGATGGTACTGCTGAAAACTGAGTGAGTCTCCTATATATCATCTGTTTGTCTTAACCTCTCACCTGTTGTTGGTCATTCAAAAGATTCATTAATTAATCATAAATGAAATCAAAACTGTTGTGCGTTGATAAATAAGAAAGGATTCACTTGATGACACCTGATCACTACAACTGTATCTGCCTACGTAGGCAGCACCCCCACTCCAGAGTGGTCAGACAGTGAAGCTCTTGTGTTTTTCTACCCAAACCTCCTTTTTTTTTTCTTTTTTTTTTTACCTCAGACCGTTATTACCATGGTGACCATGCACAGACAGAGTGCAGCCTTGACTTTTTGCTATAACAAAGGAGAGAAGTTGAGGGAGGCCGGATAGTAGGTGAACACATAGTAACTAGACAAATGGCTTTATCTAGGCCTTTGCCAGGGACTGACAGTGTAGTATGCAGTCTTCTGTTGTTGAGGTGTTGCACGCTACAGTAGACATTGAGATTGTTTTATTGTATTATATTTTAAACTATTTTAAATATTGTATTTTATTGAAGACATTAACTATCATGACATTACAAATGAAAACATAAAACATAAATTTGAATCATGTTTATTTAAAAAAAAAAATTAAATTTAAATTATTTTAATTTTATATTATTGGAAAACAGTAAAATCATGACATTACAATTTTAAGTATAAAGACATCAATTCAGAATGATTTAGAGTATTTTTTACATTTTAAATATATTTTATATTATGTTTTTAATTATTTTAAATATTATATTCTAGTGAAGACAGTAAAAAACAACAATTTTAAACTTCAAAATCAACTTCAAAACTTCAGTACAAGGACTTTCATATTACATCTAATAATGAAAAGATAAACCATAACTTAAAAAAACATTTTTTTTTAATTATGTTTAAACACCTGTTTTTTTTTTATGAAAAAAAAATCAATCAATGAATTGTGCTGTATGTTATTATAAATGTGTATTCGTGGCAACATAAAAGTACATCTAACATTCAAATGTAACCAACATATTACCGCCTCTATAGTGTTAGACATATTGTATAACATAGTTTTTGTTCTTGATGCCTATTCTGTCTGGTTTTGCCCTGTTTGTGACCTCACCCCTAGAGCATATGATCTGAAATTAAACAAACGGCATGTTTGGCCAGAGTTTAAATCTATGCATTTCAAAGTCCGTGCTGGACAATGGTTGAGATTGAGTTTAACTCCCACGGTCGGGCCTGTAAACAGTGGCTTTGTGTGAACAGACTCTGATCCCTGGTGCCGATGTCTCCACTCTACTCTCTGTTGTTACCTCACACTGATAAACAGCACAGTTATTTCAGCACGGTGGTTACACGGCTTGTGGTTTTGGGTAACGTCATTTTGGCCTGTGTATTAATCGATGTCACTGCTGATGTGCTGATCTAAGACATTTAAAGGGCCAGTTCACCCATGAATGAAAATTCTGTCATTATTTACTCACACTCGTCTTGTTCCCACCCTGTATGCTGTTTGTTATGTTTTCCAGGGTAGACAAAGAGTGTCTTGTCAGCCATCAAAAATGCATACTATTTTGTGTTTATTTCTGTTTATATGATTATTTATGTATAATATTCCATTGCAGCTCCTTTATATACGCTACTATTTATTTTTGGAATTGTTTTTTACTTTTGTTCAGCAAAGACACATTAAATGTATCAAAAGTAACAGTAAAGACATTTATAATGCTACAGAGGATTCCTATTTCAAATAAATGCTTTCTGTTCATCAAACAATGCAGAAAGAAAAAAATGTATAATGGTTTCCACAAATATTATGCAGTACAACTTTTTGTCATCATTGATAATGTGTGTGTGTGTGTGTGTGTGTGTGTGTGTGTGTGTGTGTGTGTGTGTGGGTGTATA